GAGGAAGAGGGTAAATCTCTCCAACATCAACACAGTGAGAGTAAAAATAAGATTATCAATAAAGATGCACTTTACTAAAAATGGTGTGTAAAAATCATCTAACTACTCAAATTCTGTGATAGCCCCACTACATACTTAAAGTGACACTAAACACAGGAGTTAAATGTTAAAAATGCATTCAAATACCTTGGCTATTAACAAAATATCTTATTTGTGCATCACTCAGATGTAGATTCTCAAATCATCTCTGAATTGGTGCTGACACTGTCCTTCCTTCTGAAGGGCGGCTACTTTTGTTCCCCATGGTTCCTGCGTGTGTTGTAGTAGTCACCGCTCCAAGCTCACTCTTGTGATGGACTACAATCTCATGTTTAGTTTACTAATTTGTATTGAGATTGAATTCAGAGATGATTTGAGGATATACAGTCGAGTGATACAGAATTAAGTTACATTTTTGTTACTAGGGTACTTGAAAGCATTTTCAAGATTTAACTCCTAAGTGTAGTGTCACTTTAAATCGTGTATTGCACACAAATGCTTTTAATCTTGCTATAAGATTTATTTTTTAATTGGACTGACACTTCCCCTTAAGTGTTACTTTAAGACAATACAAACAAAATGGACTTAATAAAACAAACTTGTGCTCAATCAAACCATATAGATAATGCACTAAACAGAATATCGGCGCCAAATTTAGGGTAAATCTCTCAAGAAGGCCCGGATAGCAGTAAAATCTGACAGGGGTTCTGACCTTTTAAACATGCTATCCAAAACGAGAAAAAAAAGGTTGTGTATGTAAATAAGAAGTGAAATCCCACCCACTTCCATTGACCTATACGGCTTTGAAGAGTTACCTACAATCTAGATAAATAATACCCCAGCAGTTGATAAACTGGAAATGATTTCCTCCATTTAGAAGCTAATAACGTTTCCCTCAGCTTTAGGCTGATGTGGTTCATATCATTCTCCTTCCACATTCTGGGTGATGACTTTGTAGTGCATATTGCTAAGCGAAGCCAGAGCAGCAGGGGAAGATCTCACTGCTTGACTCCAGTAAAGCTACAATTAGTTATAACTTGATCAATGTTCCTTCATCAAGCTGTCAGTGCATTTTTAAGCTGGTGGGTTGGTGTATCCTTTTTAAATGCTTTTTTTTTTTGTTAAAAAATTTCTTAAATCAATTTTCTGGCTACATTAATTGTATTGTGTTCTTATGTGTATTTTTTTCCTCAGAGATATTATGTGAACGACTCTTTTACAAAAGATAATGGCCCCATCTTCTTGATGATTGGAGGGGAAGGAACTGCCAATCCAGCTTGGATGACCCAAGGGACATGGATAACATATGCTGAAAAATTGCGAGCCCTTTGTTTCCTGCTGGAGCACAGGTTTTATGGAAAAAGCCACCCAACAGAGTAAGAATGTGGGCATTGCACATGATGCAAACTGTATTTACATACTCAAAGAAAACCTGTCGCAACTAAACCTTCAAAAATCGCCACCTGTACAGAGATTATTAAGCTCATAGATATTTGTCTTTACAACCAAAAAATCAGCCAGTAAACCCTATTTTAGATTAGATGACCCATGCTTTCCTGGCACTGCCATCCTGCTTCTCTGTATCCCCTGACTGTGGGCTGCTTTGGCCTTTCATTTATGTACTCATTGTAGACAATTGAATTTTTGTGTATTGACGGCGACCATACTTGTAACCTAGCAATGATTTTCCCTGTGGCATTTTCAACATACCTCATCATTCCATGCATGCCTCCAATGCTAGACAGTGCCACTACCCTATGTACGCAGGCAAACACAAAATTAAATAAATAAAGCAGACCAGATCAGTAACTTTGCAAGTATGCATCAATAAATTCCTGACATGTCCCAATATACAGAATCAATTCATTAAATAGGATATTTAAAATGGTCCAGCCTAGTGTCCTTTTGCCTAGGTAAAGTCTCTCAGTATCTGCCAGAGGGAAGGAACCTGGGTGAATGTCATCAGTCTTCTGCAGTCAGTCAGAAGCTTTTCTTCAATCACATCTCTCTGTGACCACTTTGTAAATTGCAACTTTGTGGTAATTCAGATGGGGAGCTTTTTCCTTTTGAGACTTGCACAGCCAGGTATCTAAAAGCTACAGTGTATGAACCAAGATTTATATGATTGTGCCGCTTATGGGACAGCATCTTAGACAACCAAGCAGAATGATAATGAAATTGCATAATGCCGGATGAAAGATGGTGCCAGCCTTCTGGAGAGAAGAAAATTTGATGGTATTGTCAGGGTGGAGAACTGTGATCTGTTTAAGAGGTAACAAATACTTCTAACGGGTACACTTACACTTAAATTAGTATACGTACACTTCACATAAAATTATATCTGACACTAGATTCACTTGATGGTAATACTTTCATTTACAATACTTTTTCTGCTAGTCACTTTCACCTTTTTCTTCTTGTAGGAATATGAGTGTGGATAATCTCCGTTACCTAAGCAGTCAGCAAGCTTTGGCAGATCTTGCCCACTTCCAGGTAGTGATGACTGAAAAACTTGGATTAGGTAACAGGAAATGGATTGTATTTGGTGGATCCTATCCTGGGTGTCTTGCGGCATGGTACCGATTAAAGTTTCCTCACTTGGCCCATGCAGCTGTAGCCAGCAGCGCCCCTGTACAAGCCGTGCTGAATTTTTCTGGTAAGAAACTAAATAATTTAATTGTGTTTGTCACAAACTGAAATGTGTGTCCATCGTTCACCACACAGGCTAGATCCCTGGGCATTCCTGAAGTGATCAGTTGGATGACCGCATCAATACACAAGCGTATAGAAATCTTCACCAGCACACCTCCCATGTGGAAAGTTTGTCTTTATTCAAATAAAAACAAAAAGTTCTCACAAACTGATCATTTTAATGCATATTAAAGTTTTGTTATTTTAAGGTTAAGTAAACACAATAGAAAAATACAGCAGGATTCCCAGAAGACATGAACAGTTGGCCTGTAGTGTCATGTTCCAGAAAGAAGGCACTGATGTGGGTGAACGCAGGAAGTCCTTTATGACATTCTTCAGCCATTGTAATTCTGCATTGAGTCCATGAATAAGTGTATTGGGAACACACACATCCGGGAATAGCCAAGATACAATAACGCACAGTACCCACCCATCCTGCAGCACTTATTCCACATTAAGAAAAAACAATATTTCCTCTGCGGAGTCACTTGAGACGTCCCTGGAGTCAACGGTAGGAAAGGGAGATGAGTGTGAGGGAAGATTTTAAAGAGAAAGGGAAGAGAGGAACAGTCCACCAGGAAGGTGTAGTGGGAGTAGTAGGATAAATACAACATGAAAATGAGAGGGTATGAGGAGACTTTCCCAGGGGGATGTACTGTAGATGACCACAACACTAGAGTCATATCTCAGATTAAAACAGACAGGTGTCCTTTTGCAGGTAAGTCTTAGGCTGGGTTCACACCTATGCGTATCGAATATGTGCGTTTGTAGCGCATATCGACCGCGATTTACAGAAAAAAACGCGCATTTCCGAGGGCTACCTGGATGTATCCCAATGGATACGCGCGGCAAATACGCCCCAAAAAAAGCTCCTGTACTTCTTTGGGCGTAGAGCGTTTTGCAGCGCGTTCCTACGCGCTGTAAAGTGCCCAGGTGGGAACCATGCCCATAGGCAATCATTGGTTTTCACATGTTGAGCGTTTTACAGAGCGTAGGAACACGCTGTAAAACGCCCAGGTGTGAACCAGGCCTTAAGGTCCGTTGATTCACCCATTTCCTAAAGTTATCATGAACTATGTAAATTCAGGTTAGGTTGTTGTGTTCAAAAAAATGGTAACAGTGTTCTCAGAGGAAAAGACACTGTGAAAGATGGTTACTAAACAGACCGAGACCTTTTTCTTATGAAAGTATAAACTTTATTTGTTACAAAATCTCATATTCCGCACCTGTTACTCCATTTCTACAAAAAATCTTCATAAAAAAACAACGTTGTCCATAACATCCATACATGCATTCTTCCATACATACTATGCACTCACACAGATTACGGCAATTACTATCTTCAAAATTTCTAAAGGGGAAATTCTCCCAATAAAACTCTTGGACCCTCTCGGTACTTTTTTTCCCTTTTTATTCCCCCTTTTGAGGTGTAAAAAATACAGCAATAAGAGGGGGGGGGGGAGAATCTGAGCTGTAGTTTTACTTTGAGATATAGGTCTGACCTGTTTGTGGCATCTGATGCATAAAAAGTATAATGAAATAGGGACTGTTTGTCTGTAATTGAAGAAAAGGAAGTCTCTATAATCAGTACAATTTGAGGCAAAAACAATCCACTATAATCATATATATATGCTCTGGTCTCAGTATATCAACCCTTTTGATGAGTGAATTCGTTTTAAAGAGTCTCAATTATTTTGTTTTATAAAGTTATTCAAACTTTTCCAGTGCAATGAAGTTCCTCCTGGTGTTGGATCTATTTCAAGGGGGAGACCTGTGTGGGACCCGTGGAGCTTGTATAATGGTCGACCGTACTCAGTTAGCTGTCTCATACCCCTCCTTTTTTCGAATCCAGGAAGTTCGGTTTGTTCAACATTATCACCAGCAATTGATTCATCTGTGGCTTTTCCAGATCCCAGGGTTTTTCTTAATACCTCTGCGAGGTTAGTCCGTTTATTGTCCCCCTTTTTTTTGGGACCGAGGGGTTTCCTTTAGGTAAGCACTATTTTCGGTAACTGGTTCTATAGTTGTTCCGATATCTCAGGATTTTTCGGTACTTCAATACAATCTGTTAGTAACTTCCAGACGTTTGAATTTCACTCATCGTTGTTCAGTAAATAAAGTAATTCCAATGATCCGTAAGGGAGCTGCCGTTTGTGTGGGTGACATAGCATGTGTAACACACTCAAGGGTGGACGCGTTTCGCTTCGCCCATCGGAGCTTCGTCTGCACCTTCTGGAAGGCAGGTGTGAGGCATGCTTAACTAGCCCTTTCACACCTGCTCAATGATTGCATCCAGGATGTATGTTTCAAGAAAGGGTGCTTATGAAAGCTATCTATAAAAAAAAAGACGACCTACCCCAATAAACATAAAGGGATATATATGGTATATCGGAGCTCCAGGGAACAAAACACATTTTTTCTATTAGGTTGTTGTGTTGTTTGTTTTGTTTTTTTGTGTTCAAAAATAGGGCATCTACATACACTCACTAAATACATAGATCAAATATACAGTATGTAGAAAATGTGTGCAAAAAAGTCAGTTTGCACATACAGTATACTGTACTTCTGATCTATATAACAGAAAGTTACCTTTTATAATTGGATGATGACACATTTTAGACCTGTAGATCCTTTGACAAGCCCTGACTTCTGCCCACACTAGTGAACATCACAATGCAGTCCTTTCCTGGCTTTAAGTATCCCCTAGCTTGCAGAAGAGGCACTCCTTCTGGAAGCTGGTTTTGGACTCTGGCAGTTACAGAAGCTGAAATAAAAAAAAAAATCACAGTTGCACAAACTGACAAATCTGAAAACAGATGTTTTTAAAATATATGAGGATACTTCATGTTTCTATATCAAAAGCTTGCACTTTCACTCTATTGAGTAGGTCAGTAAATTGTTTGTTTCTCTTGAACTCTAAAATTTTTAGGCCTCTTTCACGTGGATCACAGCATTAGAGTTTTGCAGTACAGTAAACTGCATTTACTGGACTCCATGTGGATATGTGTCCGTTTACAAGAGATTACCCCCGATCTGTTCCATTGAAACAGAACGCTGTACCATTTTGTTTTTTTTATTTCGGACCTGCCCAGAGCCGGAGGTAACCGGTTGTAAACGGGCTTGATCGTTCACACAAGGCTGCTCATAGACTTGCAATGGGCATTTGATCGGGTCCGCCTGAAAAACTGACAGGCGGACCGATCGGAGCCGTCGTGTGAAAAAATATTTTAGGTCTTTTAGATCCCAGTTGGGGAAATTTCCCACCTGTCATGAGGACGGGATGAGTACTTTTTCCAATAAGGGCATAAACAGCAAAGACCTGTGTAGTAATTGTCACGTAAATTTGTTTTGTTTCAATTAGATATTTTTATTCGAATTTTGTTAAATCTGGACATTTGGATGCATCTGAATTTTCGAGTCCAAAAATCGAAAGACATGAAAGTCCGAATTTAACTGAAATGAAACTGAACTTTTACTTTTGTGTGGTTACATGTCTAGTTTTTACTCTTTCTCACTGTATACAAAACACAAACAAAGACGTTTTGGCTGGAGTTCTACTTCCTAACTGAACTTACATTCCATCGTTGTTTTGTAGAATACCTAGATGTGGTGCAGTCCTCATTGGCTAGAAATCACTCGGGTTGCCCCAAGATGATGAAAGTGGCTTCAGATACATTGATAGAGCTGCTGCTCTACAAAGAAAACTACGAGAAAATCACACGTGACTTCAAGTAAGTGGCTTTTATACAATTTTGATTGTTACTCTCATTGGTTAGATTAATGAATGAACCGCTTTAAATCTGCCATTTACAATATTGTAAGAAAACTATCATTTTAAATTGTTCCCCTGCTAGTAATTGCCAGGTGGCAGGCGCCTGTGTTCAAATTTGAAATCTGTGATGCAGTTTGAGCATTCCCTGCTCGGCTTCACATATGTTGCTAGTCAGTAGCTGTGGACCATTCTGGGATGCACACAGATCCATAATTTAAAGCGAAGGATACTGGAATGCACATTAATGACTTCTCTCATTGCAAGAAAACTGATGTGGTAATGAGTTGTGTTTTAATAATTTCTGCAGCTTCTAATTTCTCCTACTCTTTCAAAACAGCCCTGATTGGGAAAATATCTTCCTATTCACAAGGGGCAAAAAACACAGAACCCCCATACCAATATTGTCCTCAGCGCTCTTCTGTCCCTGCTAGGAAGGGGACTGAGCTTAATTGCATTACCGTACGTTTTATTACTTGGTTTATTGATATTTTTTTTTCTAATTTATTATAGGATTTTCTAGTTGGAAGCATCTTGTACCTAGCCCTCTAACTAAAAGGGGGAACCAGGTGAAATGGGTAGGATGTTTTGTGAGGAGCCTGATTTTTGTTGTGTAGTTCTTTCCTAACTGCTCCTCATATCCCCTCTAGCGTATTAAGGTCTCAGCGCTTTCTGCTATCCAACTTTGCAATTCTAGGACTTATGCATTGGAAAGCCTGGTATTATTGACATCGGCAAAATTACTTGCAAGTGACCCATCGACTTGCTTGTGCTTCTGGTCAGGGTAACTGGCCAAGCATAGATAATCTGCTGCACAGCTTACAGTATATAAAGTCACTTATTTTATCTGATAAATATTTGGCCCATAAAGCTAATTGGCTAAAAAACCTGACCTGCACTTAAAGACAAAATTCCTTTTTGCATCATGGATAAGAGCTTAATTTTGTTGTTTGAATTAAAGCAGCAGTTCTCAACCTGTGGGTCGCAACCCAAAAGTGGGTTGCAACCCACTGTTGAGTGGGTCACAGCGTCTACTTCTGCTGCGCTAGGTGACACTGCTGCTCTAGGAGGGGGCTGAGGAGCCTGTCAGTCAGTGGGAGGACAGCAGACGCTGTGAATATGAAAGTGCCGCTGCAGTGACATAGTGACCGGGAAGTGTGTACAGCAGGACTTTTCTATTCACAGCCGCTACTGTTCTCCTGCCTCCCTTACAATGTGGGCTCTGCAAAAGGCGGGAGTCTTGGCAGTGCTGGGGCTGAGAAGGCTGCATGGGGACAAAGCAGGCAAGCAGCGGGCTTGCATTCTTGTGAGTGTGCTTCTATTTTTAGTCAGGGGTCCAGTGCCTTGCTAATTCTGGAGTCCAGTGCTCCGTTGGGGGTCACCACAACTTGGCAAATGTTACCAAGGGGTTCCAGCCCTAGAAGGGTTGAGAACAACTGTATTAAAGGGTCATGAGGTTTGGTATGTATAAAATGCTGCAATATTCTCTAATTAGTACACGTGATAAAGTGTGGCCTAAAATGTAAATTTTGAGATGGCATCGTGTCTCCTTCTTTCTATGCTGGTACACTTTATTAGTAGATTCAGTGTATCCACCATCTCTGGCACCCTAGGCAGTGACCTATGTGGCCATTTGGTAATTCTGTCCCTGCCTGAGAGATACAGAAAAATCCAGTGTGAGTTACTTCATGTTCTGCATACAGGCTGTAAAGTGGACCTAGTGCCTTTTGGGCAGTGTTGCAGAACTCCATATCGCACCATGAATCCCTAGGTAGACAATTTTTCCTCTCTAAGCTCTCAAGGTGGACCCTAAAACAAAACTTGCATCAGGCAGTTTACTGGTCCCAAAGTTCATAAGTTATTTTCACCACAGATGCTTTTTGGGCTATATTCTCATCAAACCATAAGAAACTACTAATTCTGTCAGGTGGCAGACCATTTCCTGAGGTTACATGACAAGAAGGGTTTTTTAGACTGTCATAGTGTGGTCTAATCTTAACATGTAGGGGTGGAGAGCTTAAGGAGCCCACATAACTTTGACTTCCACTGTTCATCTGAAGGTGTTCACAAAACATTGTTGCAGACTGCTTGAGTGAATGTGCACAAGTAGGGTGGGTTTCTATCCAGTGATGTTGACTATCTATCAACAGATTTGCTTCAGACAATGGCAAGTCCCTCTTTTATTCCCCCAGTCCCATTGATCAGCCCAATGGAATGAATGGCATGTCCCGGTCAAAGTAAAGGATATCCAGAGACACCTTTGACTTTTTCCCAGGGTCCTAACGAAAGGTAATCTCAAACAGGTGTAGGAGTATTAGTAATTCTATAGCGCAAACGATATGCTTTCCAAATGATCTTCAGGAGTGAACTGCAGGATTTTCTTCAGGATGGTCTTAAGAATCTAAAGCTTAAAATATAACTGTACATTCAGAGAAAGTTAAAGGTATCCTTTTTTGCTTGTGCCACTGACCCTCACTTCTCTGCCCCAGTTGTATTAATCAGCAGTAGAGGCATCCCAGAAATCTTCAGAGTCTCAAGACAAAATCTTGCTTTCCCCGGCTACACCTGCACAATTGATCCTCTTAGACTTCTATGGGGCCATCTCCTGAGATATAATTTCTCAGTAGCACAGTGAGCATTCACCTATGTCTAAGCCTTGTAACAAACACGTAAGTGTGTTAAATAGAAAGGCAGTGCTTGAGCCAATTGCACCAGAAAACATCATGTTATAGCAATGCCAATCACACACATTATAATTAATACAATGATGAAAAAAAGCAATCATCTATACGTATTATTAGTGTAGCGATAACTCCCCACAAGGAGCCGCTGTTTGCCCGGTCCTCATCTAGTCAATCTAGGGGTTGATTTCCAGCCGCACCCATTAGCACTAACCGCCCATAAATTGATGTCCACTTCAGTGGTATGATGCTAATTGAACAGTTTATTGAACATATTCTGTGGGAGAGAGGGTATAGGGGTTTTGAATGTCTAAGGTGACCATTAGCAACTCCAGACTCACCAGACTTTGCTATAACGGTGATGCAGATCCACAATCCAGGAAAGGAACACTGACCCTGTTCTGAAGCCCACATAAATCCAGGGCACTTCAAGAGCCTGCACTGTTCCTGGTTCTTTCCATCTCTCAGACCTCCTCGATGTTGGAGGCCTCAGGGAAACCTCTTTCCCCAGTTCATCCAATGCCCACCCCCAGGCCTCTGCCTAGCCTGAGGGGCAGGCTGAACGGGACCCAGCCTTAATCCATGGCTGGGCCAGGCAAGAGAGAGAACACATGGCAGCTCCCACCCATATATGTACACTATCCCAGCAGGCACCACTGGCTGAAACAAGCCCAGTGGTTGGCTGCTGTACTGTACACTTATTACAGTGTCTCCTATTGGCTGTCCCCGAATATGACAGTCTCACTCACCCAGGGGGGTACAGACAAGGTTAGACACCTGGGATTAACCATGTAATTGCTACTACAAATCCAGCCCTGGCTATCACTAAATGCATGGTAGTCACATCACAAAAGGTGATGGGCGCTACATTAGTACATGTCTTCCTTTTTTTAGCCATGTATTTGTTCTACATTTCAGAGCCCTAACTTCTGTTTTGTATATCTGAGTTTTTTGTTTTCCCTCCCAAAGCCTGTGTAAACCACTGGAGATCAACTCAAAAATGGACTTGGCCTTTCTCCTTGATACCATAGCTGAATACATTATGGATATTGTTCAGTATAACAATGACAACCGAGAGTTTGAGGTAAGAGGCTCATTAGACAGCTCTTTATTTAATCAAGAGATGATATTTGTTCAAGCGTAACAGCACATTCCGTTATAAAAATGCAATGTGAATGTATATTTACCTTTTGATATATATGCTGTTTGGAAAAAGAGAACAATTGGGCCTGTAGTGCAAAACAAAGTCTGCCCACGCCACAGTAGATCAGGCAACTAATCCAACTGTGGCTTTTATCCAAACAATGATGTCATTCTAAATTCTAACACTTGCTGATGTGTAACCTTTAGCAGCTCACTAACTGCATGTCCAATGGTGTTCTGGTTTTTGTATTAATATAATATATAATATATTGTGAAATTTTGAATTGGGGATAGTGTCCCATGTCCTATACCTGTTTCTTTAGTGACTGATCTCTTAAAGTATCTAAACCCAAAACAAAATTTTGCATCTTACCTTTCCTTAACCTCTTGCCGTCCGCCCGTTGTAAAAAAACGGACGGACGGCACTGCTGCATCTGCGGGTTGCCGTCTCCAGACGTCAATTTTTTTCTGCTCGCGCGCGCCCCCTAGCGAGCACGCACGGGCAGAAAAGACCCGATCAATGCACACCGGGTGTTTCACATATAGGCGAATTTTTTTTTTTTTACAGGGTTTCTTTTTTCACCTTCATTTTCATCTGGTGATTCTGGCACTAACACATTTCCTGTCCTAGGTTGACCACACTATTTCATTGTACTTTATCTATGGGTGAGAAACCTTGTCAATACAGGAGAAAAAGTCTTGAGACTACAGAACACCTTCACTTCCCCTCATCTCTATAACCTAGGGGTAGGTGTTCATGTTCTGTAGTCCACAGAATGGCCAGGGCTGATGACAATGCAGCAAATGCAGAGTACACAGGAAGTTATCAGCAAACTGGATTTTTGGCAGGCTTAATAGGCACACTTTTTTTTTTACACTTGTTGAATAGATTTAACAGAACTCTTTCAATGGTATAATTAACAGGTAGAAAAGGAGCAAAAAGAGAAGTTCATTGTTGGGGTTTATAAATTCAGGCAGATTGCATTGTAAAGGGGTGCTAAGTATAGCATTGTCTACTCCAGTGTTTCTCAACCTTTTTTGGCTGTAATGTAAAAGTAAAGGTAAAAAATGAAATGTAGTTCTTCCCCCTCCCCCCTTCCCTTCCCAAAATCAATACCAAACCCTTTCGTAAACAGGGGTCTGTTATGGATTTTAAAGTGGAACTCCTGGGGAAAAAAAAAAAAATGACTGAGTTTCCTCCTTCACATCAGAGTCCCCGCTTTAGCAAACATTTAAAAGCACAAATCCTGATAAAGCCAGAAGACACCCCAAGGTGTCACAGGACCCTGTTTGAAAAAGGCTGGACTACTTCGGAGATGTTCGTGACATGGATTAAAAAACTAACTACTGTATATTACTTTTGACTTATTTTTAAAAATTGCTTTGTTACTGTCCTGCAAGTGATGGAAAGAAAGCATAGCTAGCTGTACTGTAAAATGAAGATGGCTCATCGGGTACTATTTTTTTTTTTTTCTCATGCGAAACCCATGGGTGGGCTTATATTTTATGGAGATATTTACAAATGAGTACAGTTCTCCCTCTACCACCTGTGCCAGTTGAGTCTTCCCTATACTTCCTGTTACCTTGACAATAGCAGCCGACATTAGAAATCTGGCCTTTTGTATGGAACTTCTCCCTGACATTGCATATATTTTAGGCTTTTACCTTATTAACCATGCACATAATGAAGAGTCCATGTTATCACAAGTTGGTAGCATACATGCATCGTGCATTATTTATGTTGACTCTTGCTTGATCCTACTGAAGAGGAGCATTTTTTTTTTTTTGCAGAGACTGTTTCTTGTTCACCTCTTTGCATAGCATGCTTCTGGGACAATACATTAGAGGGTACAGATGTTCCCGACTTTCGTCTGGGACTTTACTAGAACAATTCTTACGGTATCTCTCTCATGGATCTGAATAAATTGTTAAAAGGAGTAAAAATGCAGCTGTGTGTACTCTTCACAGGTTGGCATTCTGAGCAAACACACAGAAGACCACTAATGCTACAAAAAAGAATTACAGGGCTGTTACATTAGGATGAAAACCTGTCATAAAATAAATATGGATGTTGACAACCTGCTTGTGAACATGCTTGTTGCTCTGTTATAATTTGGATCACTAACTTGGAATACATATACAGATCAGGCATGCTGACGTCACTTGCAGCATACTAGTTCCAGGTCAGTGATTCAGAAGGTAATGAAGACCGCGGGACAAGCAGCTGCTAGCATTTTCAGTAGTTGGTCAGCAATGTCTGACTTTTGCATCACAAATGAGGATTGCATTTTCTGCTGGTGCCTCTAGATGTCCTCTGCATCCGGTAAAATTTTCCTTCTGAAGGTCTGTTATGCTGGAAAACCCTATATAATTTGATCTTTATTTAAAGCATACCTTGTACTCAAAACCTTAAACTCCAATGGATCACCTGTGTTTTAGGCCCCCTACCCCACACTATGAATAATCAGTATGTCTGAACTAAAAAAAACGTAACCCATGGCAATAAAAAGTAAAAATTACTTACCTTAGGCCACATTTACACAGGCAGTCACATACATGCATTTACAGGACACTTCTGTGACTAACTAGGAGTGCAGAGAGAGAGAGCACGCAGAGGCGAATAACACAGGACCAGACGTGAGGGGTGTTTGGATTATAAGCTCATTTGGGCAGGATCTTCCTCTCCTACTGTTTCTGTAGGTAAATGATGCTTGTCAATGTTTCTTGCTTGTCTTGTCTAAACGATTGTACAACTCTGCGGAATATGTTGGCACTATAAAAAATAATTATTATAATTTTTAGTGGGGCATTCTAGGATACAAAGTAAAAGTGTGGAGGCCAGGGTTATGTCCTGGGGATTGCAGGAGATAAGAGGGTAAAGCCATAACGTAGGCAATGGGGCACAGGAAAGAGCAAGTCCAGAGTCGCAGTGGTAGTAATCCAGAATCAGAGGTGCAGCAAGAGTTACGAGCAAGGGCACAACAAGTCCCAGCAGACCTTTGCAGCACACGGCAGGGCGGAGCAACAGATCTGGAAATGCACCGCGGGGAGGGACAACAGATCCCAGCAGACCTCAGCAGTACACGGCAGGAAGGAACAACAGATCTCAGCAGTAAAGGCGGGGAGGGACAACAGATCCCAGCAGACCTCAGCAGGGCCATGTTTAATATTAACTGGGCCCTGGGCAAGATTTGCTGATCCACAGACAGGGAGGTGCAGGCCCGAAAGGGGATGGATGGGGGAGTATACAAGCTGTTGCTGGGCCACTTTGGTGGGAACCCAGATATGTGTACTGGGACATCGGCAGATTATCTCAGGGCCCAAGTGTAAAAACCAGCAGGACAGAGGAAGGAGGCAGGGGCAGCAGGGAGAGCACTGTGCTTCTGCTCCTTGTACAGCCCAGAAGATTTGCAGATGACCCCTTTTGATCTGCTAGCTCTGTGCCAGAGGTCAAAGCCCAGGCTGCTGTAGCCGGGGGGAGGCTAGGAGGCAGGATGGGCAAACCCACAAGGAGCTGGGGAGGATTGGGGAGCAGAGAGAGGGGCTCAGGGCTGCAAGGAGCCCTCTTCTCCACAACTTCTAAAAACATACAGTTGTGTGAAAAAGTGTTGGCCCCTTCCTGATTTTTTTCATTGTTTTGCACGTTTGTCACACTTTAATGTTTCAGATCATCAAACAAATTTTAAATATTAATCAAAGATAACGCAAGTAAACACAACATGCAGTTTTTAAAGGAAGGTTTTTATTAAGGGAAAACAAAATCCAAACCCACATGGCACTGTGTGAAAAAGTGTTTGCCCCCTAAACCTAATAACTGGTTGGGCCACCCTTAGCAGCAAGAACTGCAATCAAGCGTTTGTGATAACTTGCAATGAGTCTGTTACAGCGCTGTGCAGGAATTTTGGTCCACTCATCTTTGCAGAATTGTTGTAATTCAGCCACATTGGAAGATTTTCAACATGAACTGCCTTTTTAAGGTCATGCCACAGCATCTCAATGGGATTCAGGTCAGGACTTTGACTAGGCTACTCCAAATTCTTCATTTTGTTTTTCTTCAGCCATTCAGAGGTGGACTTGCTGGTGTGTTTTGGATCATTGTGCTGCTGCAGAACCCAAGTTCGCTTCAGCTTGAGGTCACGAACAGATGGCCGAACATTATCCTTCAGGATTTTTTGGTAGACAGCAGAATTCATGGTTCCATTTATCACAGCAAGTCTTCCAGATCCTGAAGCAGCAAAACAGCCCCAGACCATCACACTACCACCACCATATTTTACTGTTGGTATGATGTTCTTTTTCTGAAATGCGGTGTTACTCTTACGCCAGATGTAATGGGACACACACCTTCCAAAAAGTTCAACTTTTGTCTCGTCAGTCCACAGAGTATTTTCCCAAAAGTCTTGGGGATCATCAAGATGTTTTCTGGCATAACGGAGACAAGCTTTTATGTTCTTTTTGCTCAGCAGCGGTTTTCGTCTTGGAACTCTGCCATGCAGGCCATTTTTGCCCAGTCTCTTTCTTATGGTGGAGTCATGAACACTGACCTGAACTGAGGCAAGTGAGGCCTGCAGTTCTTTGGATGTTGTTGTGGGGTCTTTTGTGACCTCTTGGATGAGTCGTCGCTGCGCTCTTGGGGTAATTTTGGTTGGCCGCCCACTCCTGGGAAGGTTCACCACTGTTCCATGTTTTCGCCATTTGTGGATAATGGCTCTCACTGTGGTTCGCTGGAGTCCCAAAGCTTTAGAAATGGCTTTATAACCTTTTCCAGACTGATGGATCTCAATTATTTTCTTTCTCATTTGCTCCTGGATTTCTATGGATTTCGTCATGATGTGTAGCTTTTGAGGATGTTTTGGTCTACTTCACTTTGTCAGTCAAGTCTTATTTAAGTGATTTCTTGATAGCGAACAGGTGTGGCAGTAATCGGGCCTGGGTGTGGCT